TGTTACAAAACAAATAAATCATGAAAGACTTCATTTGACACAAAACAAATATTAAACAACATCAATTTCTCACCATCTTGTTAATGCGGCGCTGATGAAGTGTAGGCTCAAACGCAAAATTGGCACACATCCAATACCTCTACCTATATGTGTCCTCTTCATCGGACTTGGCTACCTTGCAAGGATCACCACAAAAGCACATGGGCACTGGAACACCACTAGGTAGATGCAATGGGTCGAAGGCATTTCCGGTCATCCGGCCATAACTACAATTGAACCAAATTTATTCTAAGAACCAAAAGCAATGAACATTAAACCCTAAACCTAGGGTTTTCTATTTGTTGCACATAAATGAAAACATAATATAACACGATGATAAGAGATTACCTTGGCTTACAAGCTTTACCACGCCTTGGCATCCTACCGTTACATAATACAAAAAATAAAAAATCACTTCAAACATTAGGTAATAACGTATCTAGGGTTGCAAAATAGACGTAATATATACCAAATCAATGTGTAAAATTTGATAAGGGGAGAGAGGATACCTTGCTCACGAAGATGTATGGATCAAATCAAAGTATCCAAGGTCAAATTCATTGATTCAAGAGATTGGGCGGGTTAGGTAGAGGAAGAAACTGAGAGGGGGGAGGAAGAAATGAGAACAACGTCGGCAAGGTAAACTTGGTTGCAGGTTTTGAATCCATGCTCGGCCCTAGAATACATGGCGCTGAGGTCGGCGCCAAGATCTATGGCACCGAGCTCAGCGCCAAGATCTGTGGCGCCGAGCTTGGTGCCATGTATTCTGGCGCCGAGGTACGGACACATGAACGTGGATGCCATGCTGTGCACGGCCAGGAACCTCAGAGCCGAGATATGTGGCACCGAGACATGTTACCTCGGCGCCATGAGCCCTGGCGCCAACCCCCAGGGTCCAAAGATGAGTTTAAGTCTCCTAGGGGGCCAAACATAAATTTTCTTCAAAAAATGGCCAAATTGTAAAAAATTGGGGCGGCGGTGTGCTGGTCTTCTACGAGCATGACAACGCTAGGTGAGGGTGGCTACGGCTTCGCTAGGATCCGATGAAGCTAACAACATAGCCTAGGGTTCCCGTGAGGCAGCGGTGAGCTCTGCCCACGTGCATGCCGCGGCGGCGATGATGGCATGGCGGTGCGCGGCCGTGTTCTGGCGCCGTTAGGGCGGTAGCATCTAAATGGTCACCGCTGTGAGTTCCTATGACCTACAGAGGTCACAGGACGAGAGAGAGAAAAAATGAAAAGGCTCGAGCTTGCGTTGGCCATGACGAGCTTGGAGCTCGGCAGCGCTCTAGCGAGACCACGGTGGTGGAAACGGCAATGTGCCCATACCTAGACTTGAAGGGCTTGGCAAAGAGGTGGAGATTGTAGCGCGGAGCAAGGTGAAGCTGTTGGCATGCTCGATTGGAAAATGGTGCGGTGATGGTGGCACTACGCGGTGGCGAAGCTTGCGGCGGCAATGGCGAGCTTGGCGTCGCCTTTGCGGATGCGAGAGCGAGCGAGGGAGAGGAAATGAGCGAGAGAGAGCAGACGGGCGCGTCATGGCGCTGTTGAAGTCCTCCCCGGCCAAACTAGTGGGGTCCGTGACGTCGTACGGCCGCCATATGGCGAGCACGACCAGATGTTGGTCGGCCACCACCGGCCCAATTTGAATCGGCTTAAGCCATTTCAGTTCAACTGAAACTGCCCCCTTCCTCACTCTCTATCTCTCAAATCAGCGTGATTCAGTGAAAACCGTAATAATCAAAGTTGTAGAGCTTCATGAGTACTCCAACTTTGCTTAAATGAGTTTGGTCTGGATCGGCCTAGTTTTCAAACTACAGCACGTCAAACACGGGTACATTGAAATGTAAATCACTCCCAGACTTAGAAAAATTTCAAAGTGCTAGAACAGTATTTTCTTGCTACTTATGCACTGTTTTAGAGCAAGTTACGAGCTGAATGAGACCATGATCCAAAAATAAAAGTTGTTACCCTAGTTGAGTTCTACAACTTTGCTTTAGGGTGCACAGCCATGCAAAGTATCTAGGGTATAGTTCAACTTAGGTCAAACATGCAACTTGAAAATGATAGCTTATACTATAATCATGACTTAGAGGCCAATTTGGTCCAAGTCATGAATACCAAAGTTGTTCCATGTGACATTCTAAGCATGTTAAAGGTACTCCTAGGGTCCCACAAGCATTTCACACATTGATCACATGTAAACCCTAGCCTAGGTATAAATTTAAGAGGCATCACATGTGATATAAACAAGGTAGTGAAGATAGAATTTGACATGCTCATGCTCATGAATGCTCAATGATGCTTGTGCTCATGCAATGCCAATGCCAAATGCATGCTTAACACCAGGGTGTTACAATGTATGCAGTGAATAAAAATGTTGAGCCATGGTTGAAAGCAAATCACAAGTTGAAGTGGATGAGGAGCAAATTCTCATAGGCAATAAAGTGTGGCCATATCACCAATAATGTGGCAGAGGTTTGGAACAATTGGGTGAAAGACATCAAGGACCTTCCCATAGCTGACCTTGCCGACCCTCTTAGGTCCAAGTTCATGGAACTTTATGCAAGAAGGAGAAGAATAGGTGAGAAATTTAAAGAACATGTAATGCTGCCGATTGTTGTTCGCCAACTATATGCAATGAGTCGGCAGTTAAGTCACTTGAAACAAAGAAGAGGTAGGTGTGTATGCCTTTTTTTTAACTAACTCACACTTGCTTCATATTTTCAACTTATCTCAATTGTACATTTACAGGAAAAGTCGAGCCAAGAAAGGAAAGGCAGGTAGGCCTGTTGGTTGCACGAAAGGTGATGTAGCTCCAAGTCCATCCAAAAAAATAGGAGGTTAATGTGGAATAAAATCTAGTGAATAATAGTCTTGGACCTGCAGCATCAACCATGGCAAGTGAAATGAACACTAGCCCTGGACCTGTTACAAGAAGGTGACATTCTATGAACTGATCATTTAGTTGAATTTGTACAATCTCTTATTTTGGGCTAAACTTGTAGTCTTATTTTTAGGCAAATGCAATTAACAATGGTAGAACATGGAGGGACAAATCAGATCACTACACACCCAAGCTGTGACAAAGAAGGTAAAATGATTCAATACAAGCCCAATTAAACATGTGTATACTTACCTTTAGTCATCTACTGAACCATTCCATTTTTCATGTTATTCAGTTAAACTGGAGAAGGGACAAGTAATGCTGGTTTGAAGAAAAAGTTTACTCCAAGGAAGAGAGAAAAGAACGATGTTTGAAAAACCATAGAACCATGTTATGAGTCATTTGTATGGTTCTGTATTCCCAGGCCACATGGTTCTTTTATCTATATGAACTTATGTCTAGATGGTTATTTTATCTAGTGAACCACTCAAATGTGGATGGTATTTTTTAGCCTGTTCGCTTGATCGTATTTGGCTTATCAGCTAACGAACAATATTTTTCTCTCACACCAAACCAGCCAACACTACTTTCAGCCATGACTTATAAGCCAAATCAGCCAAAACGGACGTTTGTCTGCACAACCTGGACTGGACGGACTCTAGAAACTCGCGTGGAAGGAGAACTGTGACGTAAGCCCATCTCACGGCCCATCAAGCCCGCGCAGAAAGCCGAGCATGCAGGCCGCAGGTAGGCGGCAAAGGCACGCAGCAGCATGGTTTCCACTTTCCTCTCAGAAAAATGGCGGCGCCATGAATTTCGCTCAGACAAAAAGGAAAAGCGGCAGTACGAATTTCACGTCTCGGTTCTCAGTTCTCCAATGAATCAAAGAAAAACACTGTGTTTGGAACAGCATTGTCTAGAATATCTAATATAGGGTTTGGTTGGTTGGATACAGGATACTTGGATCTATGGACACAGATGGAAATAGACAAATAGTAGCTCCGGCCATTCCCAATGGATTTTCCATGCTGACATGCCATGCTATCCAAAAATAATAATACTCCTTCCATCCCAAAACAAGTACAAATCTCGCACTTTATGGAGTCAATAAATGTTAAATTCAACTAGATTTACAGAAGACAGTATTAATATTTCTATCTCTAAATAGATTTATTGTAAAAATATATAAATGTGATTAATCTAATGATGTCTATTTGGTATCATAAATATTAAGATTTTTTATATATTTAGTCAAATTTAAAATTGGTTGACTCCTTGAAGTGTGAAATATGCATATATTTTGTGTCATATATAGAGAGAATACTACTAGGAAACAATACATGTAGTATCATTGGGTTGTTTCTTACTAGAAAGCAATTAATTGTTGTATGAATTGTGTCGGTTAAATTTTTGTATGGATTCAAAAACTTGCTTTTTCTTGCCCAAGATGGACGTGCAAATGATACAAAGCCATGTTACTCCTGCTATATAAAGATCAACTTCATGTGAAAAGAACATCAAACACCAAAATATGGATCATGCTCATGCAGGCACTAATTTTAAACAAGCCGCAGGCACTTGAAAAATTGAATAATCAGAGACAGCATTGTTCAGAGCGCTCTACTGGCTTATCTCTGCTTCAGAAAGAAAATGGCTTGTGATTCAAATCGCCACCATATGTACTCATTCATATATCCATGTCATCTAGGTTCTGATGAGATCAAAACATTGTGTGGACTGGAATCCACCACCTACACCCCAGGCTCAGGTTTGCCGGTTCTCATTCCCCCACTTGATACCAGAAGTTGAAACCTACCAACTTTCAGAAACCAAATCTTTACAATTCTTGACAAGATGGTTTCTGATCACTGTCACGTACCCAACTATGACCTTAAGATCTACTGCATTTGCCTTTTCTACAACTCAGTACTTTATCAGTAACTATCAAAATTTCAAGGCATGACTGAGACAGAGCTGTACATCAATTCATCCTGCAGCAATGCTCTTCAAGCTGAACGAGAGGAAAAGCCAAAAATGCCCTTTGAATCGGTTGTCTACATTCTTATTGAGTTGTTTCAGAGTTCCTTTGGCGTAGATGACATTACAGTACTGCAGTCTTTGGGGGAAGAAGAGATTATTTCCTTGATGCTGCTAACAAGATGCTTAGTTTCCTGGCCATGCGAAATAGGGTTCCTTGAGTAGGTCTGTGCAAATGTTCACAATTCCAGTATATCAATAGAAATTATGAGAGAAAATTACTTGAGCATGAAAGGAGACCTAAGCAAATTTTCAATTACCTCTGCAGACCACAGGTTATCATCTTTGCTACGTGGAATGATGTGCACATGAGTCTGCAATAAAACCTCTATTAACAAAACTTGGTAGACAGTACAGATAAAAGTAACATGATATTTCTTCAAAGTCAGGTAGTGAAAAAATAGCATGTCATATTACTCACATGAAAATTAACTTGTCCTGCCTTCTCTCCATTGTTGATTAGCACATTGAATGCATCTAAACAAAAAAGATACTATTAGGGAAAACTGAAGTAATATGGTCATCTAAAGCAGGTAACTACACATAATATGAGATGACATAGATGAGTTCTATAATTCAAGCTCTTACACAATTATAAACTATAAAGTAAAAAAAAAGGGCAGACCCAGTGCCGGAGGCTCCCACATGAGTGGGGTCAGGGGAAGGGAAAAACCGAGGCAAGCCTTCCCCCCGCAAAATCTACGGAGAGGCTGCTTCGAACCTACGACCTGGTGACTCAGTGAGAGCTCTCACCACTGCACCAGGCCTGCCCTTCTTATAAACTATAAAGTAAAGAATGGAATAAAATAACAGCACACTAGAAACATCTATTGAAACCGAAATTCAAGATTTTAGATGTATAACTTATTATGCACAGTGCGGAAGTGGGAATAAAATTGCAAAGTTAATAAGATTACTGCTATCAGCAAAGTTTTTAACACCACGTATCAGTATCGATGCAAACAGCACATCAACCACATGCTTCATTATTACTGCTTCTAAAAGATATACATTGAGGTGAATGCCCAAAGAACCCTAACTTGTCTTTTTGCTACCCAAATGCCATGTTTCCTATACGCCGTTTAGGCAGATTATACAGTGTGTAAACTCTGCATGGCTGTCATTCATGTTCACATAGGTTGATTACACGCCCGTTTAGTCCAAGCAATTGGCTAAACGATGAGTGCCTGACTAGGCCGTTTAAAACGTCTAGGTGAAGTGGTGAACACTGGCAAATGCTTTGTTATGCATTCTTAAGAACCCCAGAAATACCACATGAACATCAATGTTTCATCAGAGTAGTAACTGAGCAGAAAACCCTATGCTGATTAGTGAAGCTGCAGAAGTAGCAGAATATATACCAGTAAACATTTTAATGTTGCATGCAGTTCAACCCAAAAGCTTAAGCTGATGGTGACGAGTGAGCAATTCACTTATATTTCAACACTCTACTATACGTGGAGGCTTAGTCAAGCCTCAGATGTGTAATAGAAGCAAACATTCTTTTATTAAATTGCGGTAGCAAGGATTCGAACTCAACATCTATGGGCGTCATACCATATATTGAGTTAAATGCACTAACCAATTCAAACTAAAAAGGGAAACATTGAGATAAATGTAACCAAAACAAAGTTGTTTTCTACAGAAGAATAATCACAATATATGAGAAAATGTTACACAAATACAAAAGTAATACTTATAGAGGCTCAAAAAGTAATACTTATAGGATGTTGTTACTATCAGTTTTATGTAGCTTAAACAAGCAAACAGTCTTATAAGAGGATAGTGTTAATACTAGTTAATTATTAGGGGCTATTGCGTTCTTGCCCCTATTTTGAACCCCAATTGTGATTTTAACCTCATTTTCTTCCACTTTGTGTTTTTACCCCTGCTTTTCCAAAACGAAGGTTCACTTTACCCCTACTACATGAACAGCAGGTAACGGTGTTAAAAAAGTTGAAATATGACAAGTTTGCCCTTCCGAATATTGCGTTTTCCCCTATTTCAAATCACAATTGTGATTTTACCCCCACTTTCTTCCACTTTGTGTTTTTACCCCTACTTTTCCAAAACGAAGGCTCCGTTTACCCCAATTCTTAACTCAGTTATCTACATCCGGATCAAAGCAATTAAAAATTAACAAAAGCCCTGTGAAAAGACAAACTTACCCCTTATCTCTCGGTCGTCTCTCTCAGGGTCGTCCCTCTCAACGCTAGCGAGCAGCGGGGGGTTGGGTGCGGCGGCGGTGGCGACGGAAGGGCAGCGTCGGGCCGTCGGGCGGGCGCTGGAATGGCGCAGCGGCTTGACAAGCGGAGAAGAAGCTTGGCAGCGTGGCGGCTTAACTCGACGTGGGCGCTCACCAACCTGTGTTCGCTGCGCTGCTGCTTGGCAGCTTGGCGGGCGGCAGCGCGACGCGCGTCTCGTGAAAGCAGCCGACCATGGAGCCGAAGACCCGCCTCTCTCTCTCAACTCTAGACCCGCGTCTCGTGAAAGAGGCGGGTCTTCGGCTCCATGGTCGGCTGCTTTTACGAGACGCGCTCACCACGACGCCGCCAAGTTGCTAGCTGCGGCCTGCGCCGCTTCTCCGCTTTGGCAAGACGCTGCGCCCATTCGTCGCGCGCCCGCCAGACGGCCCGACGCTGCCCTTCCGCCCGCTTGTGAAAGACGCTATAACCCGTGCTTTCCCTTGGCCTATAAAAGGGAAAGCAAAGCGTCCCATGAAGGGGACCCGATCCGACCCCGAACCGATCAGATCCAGATACACACAAGAGCAGCAACCGAGCTCTCGGCACCCTTTCACTCCTTTCACTAGAGACTTGGGACCTGTCCCTCTCTCGTCTGTTTGTAACCCCTACTACAAATTTTCAGTGCTAGTAACACAAACAACAGCGACGAACTGGACGTAGGGACTTTCTACCCGAACCAGTATAAACCTCGTGTCCTCTAAACACTCCATCCGAGCCAGACGCGCAATACTAGAAATTTACTCGTTGGTGGTAACTCGAAACACCGACAAGTATAAAATTTATTTTCTTATTTAGACCTCTTTTGGAATGCAAGAATTTCACACAATCATACATGAATGAGGCCATTTTCACAGGAAAACGCGGGAAACAGGAAAAATACCCGATTTCCAAAGGGGGCCTTTATAATGGCTGTGTGCCAATCGAAAAAAAGATAAAATATGTAAAACTGGAGTAATACGGTGATAATTGACTGTCCAGAGCAGAAACAGAAAGGATAAAATATAAACTCCACATAATGTTTACAGTGGAATATAAATAACATGTTGCACCCAGACAATTGCTTATCCAATCAAGCACGTAACTATCAATCTCTTCTGTGTTATTATGACAACGAAACTTACAGTTGGTGGTGTTGTTTGCAGTGATGGGTAATGACTTTTTGGAATGATAAGGGAATGCCTACAGAGGGAACAGAAAAATAAAGAACATTAATAAAATGCATTAACATGTGATGATGTTACAAATGGCATTACAACAATGCACTAAGCACATAAGCTAAAGACCAAATAAGAGTAATAGATGGTTCAATTAAGAAATTATTCAGTAGTAAACTGACATGTGCACCAGCACCAGAAAACTATACTGCATGTCCTTAAGCTCTTACATACAGAACAGGAAATAAACATTGTTAACTAATAGAGCTTCACCAACCAAAAAAGTTGTTCTTGTTGAACATCACTACTAAACAGGTGCATTTTTGTAGTCAAAACTGATGTAATACCAATTCCAACTCTAGACATATGCTTCTCCATACTATTCAGTTCAAAAGGACAGATACTTCCTTGAATTGAATATAATAATGATACAGGTGAGACTCCCTTCATCCCAAAAAGGATGCAATTCTAGAATCGATGTCAAACTTAAATTAGTTTGACTCTGACCAAAGCTAGAATTGCATCTGGGATGGAGATTGTATTTTACAGTACAGCAACAACTGGATGACCAGTGAGCCAACAAAGTGAAGAAATGTCACTAAAAGTAGAATTGATGTCAACGTGCATTGAAATGTTTATTACCCAGATAATGAGATAATACAAAAAGTTTAGCCACCTAAAGAGCTGCAACTCAACTACCATTTTTTTTAAGAGTGCCACTGGTATTTGAGGACATATCTGGCCTGATCAATAATACCACAAGGCTAGCATTGCAAATTCTAGCTTCATGAAAGAGGTAATCTACAGGACTAACAATTGCACAGATTTAAAAAGTACACATGCCATCTGGTGCATAAATCACAATGTCAAATGGAGCAACAGAGGTGCCATTTAGATTTTTTTTTTAAACACTCGAATGATGACAAGCAAACCACAGCAGAGATGTCTAAATCCAATAGGGTGTCATTCCCAGTTCTTCGGTGTTCTACAATTTTACAGCTCAAGGGCAGAAAAGATTGGTTTACATATGTCATCTGTGATTTATCCAAACACTGAAGATCAAAACATTCAAGTCCAGATTCTAGCAGTAATGACGGATTCCCAGCCCGTTTTTTCCAGCACAATTGGGAGCTGTTTAAAGCAGATATTATCAAGGCAGTTAAATGTTTCTTTGATGATGGTGTAATGCAAGAGGGGGTGAATGATACTGCTATAGTTCTTGTCGGTGTTTCGAACCGCCGACTAGTAAATTTGTGTTTGCGCGTCTGGCCCGGATGGTGTGCTCGGAGGACACAAGGGTTTATACTGGTTCGGGCGAAATGTCCCTACGTCTAGTTTGAGGCTGCTCGTGTTACCGGCACTTGTTTGTAGTAGGGGTTACAAACGAGCGAGAGAGGGAGAAGGTCCCAAGTCTCTGATGGAAGGATTGAATGGAGTTGAGTCTAGTTGAACTCGTTTAGCCGTTCAGCGTTGAGCCGTGCCCTTCGTGGGGCGTCCTGCTTCCCCTTTTATAGTTGAAGGGGAAGGCACAGGTTACACAAGAGAAAGAGAGAGAGAGAGAAAAGCGAGGAGGAAGAAGGCCTCCGGGGTTGCGGCGCCCTTCATCTCCTTTACGCGGGTCCCGTCGGTCCTGTAGATGATGACGGGGATGGCTCCACGTCGTGACCCTGTTCATCACTGGCGCTATATGTGGGCGTCGTCAGCCGGTCATGGCGCTCCATTCCGTCCCGGCGAGCGGCATGGTTAGCAGATACCCCCGTCGGAAGTCGTACAGGGATTAGGTAGCATAGCGCTGGCACGCCCGACACTGTTGGTGACGCGAGTCCTCAGGTATGGTCCGTCGTGGCCGCGGGTCACGTCGAGACGTGCCTACTCCCTTTCTGGTGTCAGAAGTTTGACCCCGGGTTCGTACTCTTAGACCCGTAGTGGTTGGAGGCGGTACGGACCCCCATCGGGCGAGGCGGAATCCCCCTTCGAGGGGTCTGGCGAGGCGAAGTCCGCGCCCGAGGGGTCGGGCGAGACGGAGCCCGCACCCTCGGGGTCAGACGTGACGGAGCCTGCGCCCGAGGGGTCTGGCAAGACGGAGCCCGCGCCCTCGAGGTCGGGCGACACAGAGCCCGCGCCCTCGGGGTTGGGCGGGACGGTGCCCGTACCTTCGGGGTCAGGCGAGACCAAAATACGCTCTTGACCATCCGGACGAGTTAGCGTTCGCGGCCATTAGCTTCCTTCTTCCAGGTATCCCTGATACTGATACCCGACAGTTCTTATTCCAAAAATCAGTCACCCAGAAACCTTAAAAGATTACAGTCCAATAAGTATGTGTAATATTATTTATAAAGTGCTCTCAAAATGTTTGGTTAACCGTCTTCGACCCCTGTTTAATGATATTGTTTCCAGTGAACAGAGCGCATTTGTTCTAGGCGGCTGATAACGGATAACGCTCTAATCGCATTTGAATGTATTCATGAAATCCAACAGGACAACACAGATAGGAGCAAGTTTTGTGCTTACAAGTTGGACCCCACCAAGGCTTATGATCAGGTAGACTGGAATTATCTGAAACAAGTTCTATTGAAGCTGGGCTTTCATTGGAAATGGTTACAGTGGGTGATGTTGTGTGTGACCACTGTTTGTTATACTGTTCGCTTCAATGGTGTCCTGCAGGGTGCCTTTCAGCCTACTCGGGGACTTCGCCAAGGTGATCCTCTTTCGCCTTATTTGTTCCTATTTGTTGCTGATGGTTTGTCAAAAATTATACAGGAAGGTGTTACTAATCGCTCGATCCAGGGAATTAAGGTGAGTAGGAACGCGCCTGAAATTTCACACCTTCTGTTTGCTGACGATACCTGTTGTTCTTCCAGAGTGGTGGATATTCAGGCGCATGCAGTGAAAGAAATGCTGGCGAGATACTGTTCAGCGACAGGGCAGTTAATTAATTTCGACAAATGTTCCATCTTGTTCAATGAAAATTTGAATGTGGGCATGATTCAGACTGTCAAGCAGCGGCTGCAAGTTCAGGGAATTGCATTTGAAGCCAAATACCTGGGATTGCTGAGGCCGGAAGGCCGTATGCACGCTGGCCAGTTCCAGAATTTAACTGATCGCCTGAAGAAGCACTGCAATGCATGGGATGAAAAATGCTTATCTGCAGGAGGGAAAGATGTGCTAATTAAAGCAGTTGCCCAGGCGATTCCAGTATATATAATGAGTGTTTTCAAAATCCCAGCGTCGATCCATGAATCTCTTGAAGGATGCATCAGGAAGTTTTGGTGGAATGAGCTCTCTGGTGATCGTCATACTCATTGGATTGCTTGGGATAAATTTACAAAGTCTAAGGGACAGGGAAGGTTAGGCTTCCGCGACCTCAGAATTTTCAACCAAGCGTTGCTCGGAAGACAAGCATGGAGATTATTGGAAAAACCAGAAAGTCTCTGTGAGCGTGTGCTGAAAGCTAAATATTATCCGAATGGAAATTTACTGGATATGGCGTTCCCGGTTAATCAGTCTCCCACGTGGCGGGCCATTGTGCATGAACTTGATCTGGTTAAACAGGGCTATGTTTGGAGAATAGGGTCTGGGCAAAGCGTTCGCGTTTGGCGAGACCCCTGGATTCCGAGGCTCTGGAATTTAAAACCAATCGGAAAGAAGGGGCCTTGCCGTCTAAAATGGGTGCACCAACTAGTGGACCAAGATAATATGCAGTGGAAGGAAGGTTTGCTTGATAGATTTTTTTGGCCGGCTGATACTCAGGAAATTATGAAGATCAGCCTGCCAAGCGTCCCTGCGGATGATGTGTTCGCTTGGCACCATGAAAAGAATGGGAGGTACACTGTCAAGAGTGCTTACCGATTGGCGCGTAAGCGCATCTCAGAGGAGCGTGGTGGTGGTCAGTCCACATCTGACAATCCTGATGCCAGGCCATTTTGGAGAGATTACTGGAAAATGCCGCTACCACATAAGATTCTAGTTTTTGGATGGAAAATCGCCAACAATGGGCTGGCGACACAGCAAAACAAACACAGGCGAAGTATTGTGCAGCTGGACACTTGTGAAATCTGTGGAAATGGTGCTGAAACGTTGAATCACGCCCTGGTCGGATGTACTCACACGACCCAGCTCCGGACGGCAATGAGAACGTTTTGGGCGTTGCCGGACGAGAAGCAGTTTTTAAATATTAATCATCAAAAAAATTTGATCTTCTTGATGCAAGCGGAGCAAGATATGAGAGCTAAGAGCTTGCTGCTACTGTGGAGAACCTGGCAAGTGAGGAATGATATAACCCATGAAGCGAGGAGTTTCTCAATTGAGGGGTCTATCCATTTCCTCAAACGCTACTGGACGGAGTTGTGCTGTATTAAGCAAAGTAACGGCTATGCTGATCCTAATGGCAAATCACCTGTGTATAATTCCTTGTATGCAGGTCATGTGTTGCAGAAGGAGAGGAGATCGTTTCTATGGCGGAGGCCTGAGGCAGAATGGCGGAAGGTGAATGTTGACAGGGTGTTCTGCAGCTCCACTGGGGCAGGTGGCATAGGTATCATTATTAGAGATCATAACGCCGGGGTGCTCCTTGCTGCTTGGCGTGCCCTGCCGGTGGCACGGGATGCTGAAGAAGTAGAGGCCATGGCCATCCGAGAAGGATTTCGGTATGCTGCTGAAGGGCGGGCCTGGTGCAAGCGGTAGAGTCTTACCGCCTGTGACCGGAAGGTCCCGGGTTCGAGTCGCGGTCTCCTCGCATTGCACAGGTGAGGGTAAGGCTTGCCACTAACACCCTTCCCCAGACCCCGCACAGAGCGGGAGCTCTCTGCACTGGGTACGCTGAAGAGCCAGAGTTGCCAGTGATAATGGAGATGGACTGCAGTTCGGTCTGTGCTATGATCAAGTCGCAGGAAAGAGATTGTGGACCATTGCGGTTCATAATAGAGGAGGCTAAACAGGTTTCGAGCCAAATTTCTGAGTGGAAAATAGTCCACACGAGAAGAGAGGGAAATTGTGCTGCCCATGAGCTCGCGCAGCTGGCGCTTAGATCAAATAGTGTGGCGGTTTGGCGCCATTAAGTGCCGGTTTGTATCAAGCAAATTATTGCTCAAGATTGTACTGATCCTGAGTAATAATATAGCCTCTCTTTTCCTCGCAAAAAAAAGATTCTAGCAGTAATGTTTCCTTTCACATTGGGCATTAATCATGTCATTGTCATCCATTCAATCCAGTGCGAAAACTTGAATATCCGACGACCTATTGAATACTATTTAGAGTCAATTGCACAAACAAGAAGTCTAGATTACCCTTGTATCAAGTAAACCATCTCAACTTCTTCAGTGTGCCCAACATACTGACTTTTAGTAGAGATTGTTTCAGACATTCTTTGCCAATTCACGTTAATCGAACATACCAAACAAAGCACACAAACTTGATGCACACAAATAACAAAAACTGCATGTTACTCATAAAATCGAAAGACCAGTGAAAATTCACGTTTCACACAAGTCGCTATCTCTATGTGGTTTTAAACGTGGTTGACAAACTCAAGTAACTGAACGAAATTATTAAGCACACTATTGTGAGAACCGAAGTAATGACAGAGCTGACAAGTGAGAAGAGTATTAAACCCTTACCCGCTTGTTAGAGGTTTAGCATCCAGGATGCACAAGCACATATCATCCTCGTAGAGCTGCAAAATGCAGCACACAACAGTCCGAATTCATCAATAAACAGGCAACCAGTTCATCAACAACTAACACACGAAGCCATCACGAGAGCAAATTTAAAAACCCCATAGTTCACGAAAGTGCTGGAAAAACCAGGACAAGTAGAGAACGCCTCGAGTAGCGACGCGATTACACGCAGAATGGTTGAACAAGCTGGGAGCGGGCGGCGCCAGCGTTGCATACTAACCTTGAAGGCCTGCACGGTGCCCGCGACGATGTTGCAGAACACGCAGCGCCCGGCACCCGAGGACTCCCCCTTCTCCTCTCCTGCTGCGCAGGGCGACGTGGAGAGGCTCCCCTCCGTCTCGGCCTCCGCCGCGGCTGCGGTCCCGAGGCACTCGGCGCTGGCGACGCCGGGGATGGTGCGTGGAGGCTCGCAGCACGGGTGGAAGTGGGACAAGAGCACGGCGAGGCGCCTCTCCGGCGCAGGCGCCGGCGATCCCGACGGCCGCGGCATCTGGGTGAGGACGGGGTGGTGGCTGGCGGGCGGCGCGGGGCTTTGGAGTTCGGGCACGGTGGCGTGGGAGGGAGAGGAAGAGGAAGAGGACAAATGGAAGGAGTGGGAAGATGAGATGATGAGAGAGAGGGTTATGCCGTTGACGACTCTGGTGGGCACTAGTGTGTGTGGTCGCTGCGTTTTATCCGGAGATGTGGGACCCCTGAGTATTGTGTCCCTGCTACGTGGGGTAGAATGACCGATGGACCCACGTGACGGTATGCGTGGACTTCGATGGTGAGCGGGACCCATCAGCGTAACAGACTCGAGTGTTAACTCCAGACAAGTGGGGCCGAGGTGTAAGTGGCTTAGGGTCTAATTGGTCGTTTACATAGCCCGTATAGTCTTATGCAGTGGATTTTTTATTAGTGTTTGGTTGCTTAATTAGAAAAACACGCTAACAAAGCATTAGGGCTTGATCCATTAGCATTAAAAATTAACTAGCTAATAATTAATAGCTTCTAATTTTTATTTACCTATTTTTTAGCAAAAGGTTGTTTGATCCCACCGCTAATAGGTGGGTAAACAGTGAGCTAAAGGTGTATTTGAACTATTAACATCTATTAGTAATCCCAAACTTGCTAATGGAACTGGTAATAGTTAGCAACCCTCAAGCTAATACTAACTTTAGCTGCTATAAATTTTTAGTGGTAATAGATCTAAACATGCCCCTCGTATGTTTAAATTTTTTATATTAAGCAATACATATTTGTAATAGGATGAACACACAAAAATAAAATATTCTCACATTCTTTGTCTTTATTAGAAACGTGAGATCTCTAATAGAACGAATATATAGGTGGACTATATGCAATAAAATGTAAACAAGCAAACACAATTTTATCGAATGCACCTATGCAAAACAACCAAATATCAAGACACTGCATATGTTTATGTTAGCTTATAGATTATGCTACATAATGCCTAATACAAGCTGTGTGTTGGTGTTTCGAGTTACCACCAACGAGTAAATTTTTAGTATTGTGCGTCTAGCTCGGATGGTGTGCTTAGAGGACACGAGGTTTATACTAGTTCGGGCAGAATGTCCCAACGTCCAGTTCATCGCTGCTGCTCGTGTTACTAGCACCGAAAGTTTGTAGTAGGGGTTACAAACAGCGAGAGAGTGACAGGTCCCAAGTCTATAGTGGAAAGAGTGAACGGGTGCCGAGAGCTCTGTTGCTGCTCAGCCGTGTGCTTGTGTTGTGTTCTGGTCGGTTCGAGGTTCGAGGTTCGATGAGTTCGTGATGGTTCGATCGGGTCTAGCTTCAATTGATCAATCCCAGTCCTTTCCATGGACGCCCTGCTTTCCCTTTTATAAACCAAGGAAAAACATGGGTTATAGCGGAGGAAAAGAGAAGAAACAAGAGGGAGAGGACGGCCTTCAGGATAGCCAGGTCCTTCTTATCCTTCATGCAGGTCCCACCGACCCTATAAATGTCAACAGAGATAGCTCCACATTGCGGCCCCGTCCACCACTAGCGCCACGCGTAGGCATCGTCTGCCGGTCATGGCGTTCCATTCCGCCGCAGCGGACGTCGTGGTGAGCTGACGTGCCTACCAGTGTTCGTACGGGGGTTAGGCAGAATAGCACCGGTACGTCCAACGTTGTTCTTGATGTGAACCCTTCGGTATGCCTCCCCCCTCGTGGCAATGGGTTATATCAGGGCGTGCCGGTCTCTTCCCTGGTGTCAGGGATTTGATCCAGGCCCATACGCTTAGATCTAAAATGGTTGGCGGTGGCATGGGTCTCTGTTGGACAAGACAGAGTCCATGGCCTTAGGGTCGAGCGAGACGGAGCGTAAACACAAGGGTCGAGGCGAGGCGGAGCGCAAACCTAAGGGTCAGGCAAGGCGGAGCTCAAACCCAAAGGTCGGGCGAGGCGGAGCCTACGGCCTTGGGGTCGGGCGAGATGGAGCCCTCCCCTAGAGGCCGGGTAAGGCGGAGCGCAAACCCAAGCATCGAGCGAGGCAGAGCCCGTGGCCTTAGGGTCAGGCGAGGCGGAGTCCTTCCCCAGAGGCTCCCCAGAGGTAGGTCGAGGCGGAGCCTGCACTCCTAGGGGTCGGTTGGAGCCGTAGTCACGCTCTTGACCGCTTGGATGAATCAATATTGATGGTCATTAGCTTCTCCTCTTCGGGTACCCTAGTATTGGTCCTCGACAGTAGACCCTGAGCCTATGAAGGAGTAGAATACTCCTTTGGAGGCTTTTCCGAATGGGAGGACTCTGAGGGCCTTGGCCTTCTTTTGTCGCCCACGGCGCGACCTGGGGACGGTGATTCCCTTTTGTCGAGATCGGACCCCTTAGGGCTATAGCCGTGAGATTTGGTGGGTCGGAAAGGTCTTTTCTAATTTCAACCCCTACAAGGGTCTGTTGTTCTGCGACCGTGCGTTCGGTCTTCGTGTGAGTCCAACTTTCCTCAAGCCACGCGCGTAGCGAGGGTCTGATCTAGAGTCGGCTAGTCTTTTCGATCGTCACCCCATCTGCAGTTTCCACAACTGGAGGGGTTGAGCCATGCCCTGATTTTCCTCTATAGACGAGCCATGGTGCTCGGTGAGCTGTTAATGGGTTAGTTCAAGTGGGGCCCCGGCATCCCGTTCACGGGGATCTGGCTTGGGTCAGCTAGTGACCAACTCTAGATTCTCCACGGTCAATCCATATAGTTCTCGGGTCCATTCGACCAGTCCCGAGGGCTAAAAGGTCCTTGTGTGGTTTTGGTAATTGAGTGACAACCTAGGTGGACTAATTGTGTTTATATGAGATACACAAGTAATTAGTCCACAGGTACATGTGTGTGAGCAACATATGCCATGAAGGTGGAAATGGCTCGGAGATGTTGCAAAGCTCATACATGTGATGATGAAGGAGCTCATTGCACATGAGACATGACATTGAGTCATGTGATCAAGGTGGAGAAGGCTTGATGGACCGGTTGCAAGCGTGAATGTCAAGTTGGAGGCTTTGGAGCGATGGACCACGTGGCGGTGACGCTTGAGGAATACTTGGCACCGATGGATGAAGGCAACGGTGAAAAGCAAGTGAAGTCAAGATCGATGAACCAATATGATCACATGATGATATGAAGTGGATCATATCATTATTGATCATGTTTGTGCATGTGTTGCATCGACATTGGAGGAGATGGAATGGAATGCGCAAGGCAAAGGTATAACCTATAGGGCATTTTGTTTCACCGGTCATAGGTGTGTAGAGAAGTTTATGACTGGGTTTAGGATAGATGGCTGTACTATCAAGAGGGGTAAACTTATTTGCATATCGGTCATCTAGTGCCACTTGAGCGATCTAACTTTGTGATGTTGCTAGGATCGTGTGGCGTGGTAAATTGAGTGACTAATCCTTTGAAAAATATTTGTGAAAATGGTAACACACTTGCACTTGGTGGTGTACACTTGGTGGTGTTGGCACATTTGCAAAGGAGAAGAAGTTGCAGTTGTTGTGGATCAACTTAGAGAAGAGAAAAAGGTTTTTCTATGTACTCTGAACTATAGGATGGTCCTTGGATTGGAATACTGTTTTGATCCATTGTGATTTGGATAAAGTATGCATATGGGATGTGTAGCCCTCTGAGTAAGCTTTTCAAAATGTTCAAGATCATCAAAATCGGAGTTCAGAGCTAAGAGTTATAGCCATTTTAGCGCTGAAAGGTCTGTGACCGGACTCTACGACCTACGCGTCTGGTCAGCACCTGCGAGTCCGGTCATAGCGTCCGGTCAGTGTTTTTAACACGTCCAGGAGCAATCGGACGCATAGAGAGTCCGGTCAGTGATGACCTGATGTGTCCGGTCATCAAAAGAGCTCTCTAGAACCTCTCTAGAAGTGACCGGACGCTGGAGAGTCGAGTCCGGTCATAGGATAAAGGTGAGTCCGATCATTGGACCTAGGCGCATCTGGTCAAGAGTATGCACTCGCGGGAGCTAGCCATTGAAGCCCAACGGTCGGCTTCAAAAGGAGGGGACGCGTGGCATCATCCTAGCGATCGGACTGTGTGACCTACGTGTCCGGTCGTTATGACCTACGGTCCGGTCAGTACGAAAAGTGCCCAGTGAAGGGGTACAACGGCTCTATTTTCTTAGGGGCTATAAAACCAAGCATTGGTCGGCCTTGGGCTAGTTGCTGAGCACACTAGAGCCTTGGTGGCTTATGTGGTAGTACTTGGGAGCCCTCTAACTCACTTGAGCTTGTTAGTGTTCATCCGATCGAGTGAGTGAGCGATTCTAGTGCGATTGCATTGTGAGATTTGTATCTAGTGGCACTAGGTGATCATCTTGCAAGCCGGTGGTGCTTATTACTCTTTAAGGTTGCCATGTCCTAGATGGCTTGGTGGTGGTCTCCGTCGAAGCCCGCAAGAAGCTTGTGCGGTGCTCCGGAGAAGAGCTTTGTGAGAGGCATTGTGCTCGCCCCACGGGAGCCGCAAAGAGCAACTCTAGTAGAGCGAGACGTGAAGGGCGACAAGTGGTCCACCCGGGTCAAGTGCTAGAGCTTATGGTAAGCACTCCATATAGGAGAGTGTGACTTGTGGGTCACCACTAGCAAGAGGACCGGCGGCAACCTTAGAACTTGTCTCAACGGGGCGTAGCGTGTTGGCAAGCACGTGAACCTTGGGAGAAAAATCACCATGTCAACATTGTTCTTTCCGTTGGTTTGCAATCCCCTTACACAAGCTTTTAATTACTTTTATATACATTGTGCTTGTATAGTTGCTCTTGTAATTAGTTAGCTTGTGTAGCTCACTAGTTATCTTCTTGCTTGTGTAGCATAGAAGTAGCTCCCTTGCTTGGCTAATTTGGTTTGTATAACCTTGTTAGTCACATTGCTTAGTTTATGTAGCTAAGTATTTGCGCTCTCTAATTTGGCATTGGTTGCCTTGTTATTAAGCATTGTTAGTGAGCTTAGGAGCTTTGTGCTTTTGCTTACTAGAATTGTGTAGGAGCTCCTCGGTGTGCAA